ATATTAACGAATCCTTTGCTCCAAGGTTAGATGTACGCGAGACCTTCCTCGGCATCGCTTTCACTCCAGCAATGAACTCATGGCGTCTCATCAGTGCCTCTGCTTTGTATTTAGCCTCCGCAATCTGAGCGTAAAGATCCGTGTCCTGCAATCGTTTCGACTTGCGATCGAGTTTTAAATTTCGAACGAGGTTTTTGCGCTTCTTTTCAAACGCACGAATGGCAGACCGAACGCGTTCGGCATCCCGGATATAGTACTCTGCTTGGAAAGCAGGATGTTCGAGATATGTCTGCAGGTCATCGTAGATGTCGCGCATTTCGTGTATCTTAGCAAAAACGTCTGAATGGACAGTGACACTGCGAGAAAGGTTGCAACCTTTAAGGGAGCTAATCGCACATATGGTTGTAAGGAATGTATAGCTCAGTAGTATGAAATGAAACAAACCTATAATGATAGAGAATTCCAATCCGAGGTGTCCCTTTTGGGTCGGTCAGGATCTTTGGTAAAGCAGCGAGGGCATCATTCGGGGAAAGAAGGCCATTGGAGAGATACGAAGCGTCCGCAGTGCATCCGTAGGTTTCGATCATCACATGCAATATACTGCAATTCTTTGACCGAGATTTTGCGTTCGAATGAGCAGCTCCAGCTTTAAAGAAATTCTCAACGAGGACCTGGGCCTCGACCTCTACCTTGTCCGTTGAGCTCTTTTCATCGACTCTGAGGACATAGTTGAGGTGGGTGTCGAAGTAGAGATTCGACACTCACTGACAAACAATAACCATTCGACATCCATACCCGCGTCGTCGTCCGGCAAGGTAGTAGTCCCCATATCTTTCTCGAAATACATCCTCTGAGAGGTCGCTTAAACCATTCTGTAATGCGACATTAGAGGGTATGAACTCTGGTTCGAATTCTCCAATCACTCTGTACTGTATCAGTACCGTCGATGCCGAAGCATTTTTTGACAACAACGAAGAGATACGAGTGCTCATTGAGACAGAGGTAGGGGCAACATTAATCGTTCCGCCTATTTCCATGTCATATTGATCTTGCAAGGACTTGATATCGTTCCAGTGCAAGGTATTGACGTACGTTTTACTCTGTTTAGGCCTCGGAGAACCAGACATCTTGAATGGCGTCAGCGCGGTACGAGTCATAGACTCTCCGGTGAGAGCATCCACGCCAAAGCCCAATCGAAAGGTTTCGGACCAGGGTATTTTAACTTCACGCTGAAGTTCTGTGCTGGCCACAGCTTGAGCACGTTTCTAAGCGAATCGAGTAAGATCAGATACGCAGACGGAAATATTCGATGGTCATACTTGGACCGGAGCTGCTTCTGACGAATTTGAGTCTTTCTTAGAAGGAATCTCCAAGCTCACAGTCCGACGATGTTTCTTGGAATCATCAGGAGGCTTCAAAGTATCAGGTGTCACAGATCTTGTTACTGGGTGTGCGGGAACCTCAAGGTTATTATCAAGTTGAGTCGGTGTCACTTTGAGTATTGGTTTGAGAATGGTCTGAGGTCGAGATTTGAGGTATTCGATCTTTGCGCGAATAGCGTTTGGGGTCTGCACCAAAAACATCAGTTGTGGACGGCTGGCTGCTGTATAAGTAGGCGCACCGCATCTGTCTTATCATGGTCCGCCCCGAATACTATAGTACTTCCGTCCTTCAATAGAGAAGCCTTCTTTGACATAAGTTTGCCCGTTGAACTCGTCCACGTTCCGTGTCCCGATCCCAAATCAGTGATATACACCTTGATCCATGGATCAGATTCAATTGTCAGTTAGGAACGGGTAACCTACTTTTGCTCTGTCAAATGTCAGTATGGCGTGGTTGTAGCCTACTAGATTGTCTGTGCTCCCAAAAAGTTTTCTCCCTATTGTTGACTCATTGTTAGAGTCGTCCTTCTTCACCGTGAATTTCTTCGGTTTGTTCTTCGAATAGGGCGGATCTTCGCAGATAAATACGACACCTAGTCAAACTTATATGAGCCTAAAAATCTGGAGTAAAATCATTTGGAGCACACCTTCTACCACAACGTTGCCTGCGTTCTTAATTTCGGTAGCAGGCATAGCTGGTTTTGTGAAAAAATGCTCAAGGATAAAGCGATTCTTATAGATTGAAGGCAACCGCCGAAGACCACGGACATGTACTGCAATGGCTTACAAAGTTATTTGTGTCGAGAATGTCATCTGGAGATACCATTTTGTGATAAAGGTGTATTTCGTCAGTGATCAGTTGGTGAAGGATGCGAAAGCACGTGCTAATGGCCCTGGTGTTTTCATCCCCCAATTCAATTTTGGCGCAGTAGCTAGTCAGGGCTTGTACACCCGATCCCTCTCTAACAAAGTCAACACATAAAAAAAGTGTCCAAAGTGCCAGTGTGGGAGGGTATTACTCCAGAAAGTTAGAAACTCTTATTATTACACAGTTCAGGGCAGGTCAACTCGTGTGTGTGGCTTTTGGTTTTTTGACCACCATCCACGTTGAAATATCTGCTCAGATGTACCTCCTGCGATTTGTAACAAGCGGAATGTATTCCCAATCCTCGTCTCGAAACCTTCCTGGTCTTCAACCCTCAGCTGACCGAACAGCTGACTTCAATTTCTAAAATCATTGAACGAATTGTATGGCGGCGATTGTATACAAGTGATGTCGATACTGACATCTCAAAACTACAACTACCATGTCTCTGAAGCACATATACAGCTCTTCAGACGGATTAGTAGACAGATCTCTCCAAGGAGCCGTCGCTTTGAACCCATCTCTTCGTTTGTGAGTTCTTCCTTCCTCATTTTTGGCTCAAAATTGATTGATCTATTCCGATTAGACATCACTCGTCAAAGTCTGTGTATGTATACCCTCCATCCCAACAGGCCAAGACCTCCATAATCTCTGGCGGCGGGGCAGGCCATGAACCTGCACATGCATCCTACACAGGGTATGGCATGCTTGCGGCTTCCGTGTCCGGCGAAATTTTTGCTTCTCCGAGTGCTAAGCAAATACTGCCAACGATTCGTCTAGCAGCCTACGCAGGCGAAGATGCCCATCCCAGAAGGAATACGATCACGGACAGATCTGCCACCTACAGTCCGCATAAGAAGGACGTTCTCGTTGTTATCAATAACTATACTGGAGACCGGCTCAATTTCGGTCTTGCCATCGAGAAAGCCCGGGCTGAAGGGATCCGAATTGATAGCGTCGTCGTAGCTGACGATGTATCACTTCTTCATTCCGAAGGCTCTGATCTCGTTGGTCCTCGCGGACTTGCTGGTAATATCCTTATCTGCAAGATCCTAGGTGCCCTTGCAGAGCGAGGATCCTCTCTAGAGAACCTCAAGCGAGCAGGAGATACTCTTGTTTCTCACCTCGCAAGCATTGGTGTCGGGTTGGAACATTGCCATGTACCTGGTAATAATTATTCCGGTGCTGCGATGAGTGAAGATGAATGTGAGGTGGGGCTGGGGCTTCATAACGAACCGGGCGTGCGCCGCATGAAGTTCCAGGACTCAGTGAAGTTAGTTGATGAAATGATAGGGAAGATCCTGCGCTCAAGAGGTGTTGTTGATGGAGGTAGAGATAGCTTCATCCAGGAAGGCGATATTACGGTCTTGTTTGTGAATAATCTAGGAGGTATGTCTCAATTAGAGATGGGTGCGATAATGACCGATATCCTTGCTAGATTGGGTACGTGATTTCAATATAATCTCGAAGATAAAACTCAAATCAGCTTAGCTCTCTCCGACATACATCCTCTACGAATCTATAGTTCATCTTTCATGACCTCACTCAATGCCCCTGGTTTCTCTGTCTCCCTCCTCAATGTCTCCGCTGTCCATCGGACAACCCGTCCTTCTGCAATTTACCATCCAATTGACGTTCTCGGATTATTGGACGATCCTACCGAAGCTCACTCCTGGATCGGAATACGCCGTTTTTGGCCTGTAGATGGCCAAAGAGACTGGCGCGGGCAGCAACGCGCTACTGAAAGAACGCTCAGTTTGATGTCTATGGGTAATGGAACGTCCAAAGCAAAAGGAACGGATCCTTCTGCGGAAACGACGTATTGGCATCAGGCTGACGTCTCGCCTGAAAGTGTGAAAAAAGGAATCATGGGTGCATGTAGAGCTGTGCTCGACGAGGAAGCGTTGTTGACTGAATACGATACTATTGTGGGAGATGGAGATTGCGGTACGACGTTCTCGCGGGGTGCAAAAGGTGGTTGAGGATCTGATCATGATCAAAATCCGCTAACTTTCACTGTAGCAATTCTGTCTGCAATCGAAACGCAACAACTCGAGGTCAACAAGTTATCTCCAGGTCAGTTAGTGCATTGTGTGGGCGAGATACTCGAAGATAACATGGGAGGAACCATTGGAGCGTGTAAGGAATCTCGCTTGTGGTCGAATACGAACAAGATGACTGAAATTCTATCCTAGTATTTGCTATCTTCTTTACGGCCTGGTCATCTGCCATAACACGAATGATCCACCCATCAATGGCCTCCATCTCCCCCATTCATTTTATGGACACTCTCCCTGACGCTTTAAATTCGCTCGCCCACCACACGCCAGCCAAACCCGGCGATCGAACAATCATGGACGCGTTGTATCCGTTGTGTAATGCTCCAGTTTCATCACCAGGCAGCAGTGAAAGCAAAGCAGGCTCAAAAAGCATCTTTGCTCATGATTATCAGCAAGACCAAGACGGCAACTTGAATCTAGTGGCAGAAGCATGCCGCCGAGCCCACGAAGGTGCTCTGAGCACGAAAGGAATGAAACCTAAACTAGGAAGAGCAGTTTATGTACAATTGAAAGAGGAATTGGAGCTCCCCCCGGATCCAGGAGCGTGGGGCGTCGCGGTGCTTGCACAAGGTTTCTTGGATGGATTCTGTGAGCGGGAAAAGGAAGATTTGTAAACTGTAGGTAAAGAAAACTTGTTTCTCCAATACAACGATGCCTGTTGATAGCATAATTTCTGTTGCCGAATAGGACATCGCCTTCTTAGCTCAGTGGTAGAGCGTTGCACTTGTATAACATACGACCAATCCAACTTGGAGGGGTACATTAATGCAAAGGTCAGTCGTTCAATCCGGCTAGGAGGCATTACAGGATTTGCCTTTCCTTTGTCTTTTTTTCCATGTTGAAACTTTTCCCGACATCGCCGTCGAATGTATTAGACAAGAAAATTGTTTTTTTTGGACAGCTCGACGTTTTCTATGTAATCGAAGAACACCGCCGCCGCAATTCCTCTCATTGCTTTATTCACATCCTTTAGTATGAGTGTAATTCTTCCAAATGGCTCAGAAGCTTCTTGTGATTTCAGGTACGTTGTATTCCTGAACTCGAAGTATATTCTGATTTGCAGATAAGTATGGCTTCCAGGATGATCTGGCGAGGAAGTTCTTCTTCCGATTTGCTCCCGGGGGGCCTTCTACTTGTGCTAGCAAATCACTTCGTGATTCGGCCTATTCCCCGGAGATGAATAGCTTTACAACCCAGTCACGACTTTGTACTTACTTCAAGCTTTATGCTACCGAATAGCTGAAATCTCCGCACTCTGTTTTTCTGGCCCCCTTTCTGGCACTCTTCATGTGATTGGTGACCTTCGTTATCTGCGCACAAAAGGAAGTCCTTCCAATTTATCAGGCCCATCTCGCTGGAAGATGAACCCTATTTTTATACAGTCTCTGGGAACTAATCACGGATTCAACGGTTTAAGTAGGTTGGGCTCCATTTTTGTGAGTGAAGTCTGAAATTTTCGGGGCCTTTTCAGTATACAGCAAGTAATTCCGCAAGCTCGAAGTTTTTAATAGGTGGAACGCCTTCGCTCTTTAACGCTTCATGGACAGGTTGAGATAAGATCACCGGATAGGGTAGACCGGTAATTTTCAGGCTCATCCTTATTGCAAAATGTCGGAATTCTCATTGCTTGTATGAGCACCCACTTGGATGAGAATACGGAGAATGCAAAAGTACGTACTTCCCCTTGGCTTCCCATCGTGTAATGTGTCTTTTTCCCAAAACGAGCTCATCATCCATGTACTCATTTTCCGAGGTTAAGGACCATGAGAATAGATCCGCGATATGCCAGGCCACTAGGATTCTCAGATGAATGAACCAATCCTGACGCCTTTTAGCCCTGCTCGCTTGAGCCTCTTTGAAGGCTATAAAAGGGATAAGATTTCACGAAACTCCCTTTGCACTATTATACCTTGTCCTCTCCAAATTTTGCATAGACATGACCATCATACTATACGACTTTCCTGCTAAACGGAACGAGCACACTGCTTGGAACCCGAATGTATGGAAGGCGAGGTAGAACTGCATCGTTGTTTTTATTTGATTGGGGCTGACGTTGTATTCTGTCTAGGTATAGTCTTGTTTACAAGAGTCTCCCATACAGAACGGTCTTGGTCGAGTTTCCTGACCTTGAACATACGATGCGGGAACTTGGTGCTGCACCTACCGAAACCAAACCCGACGGAAGTCCGAAATATACGCTTCCGGTCATCCATGATACCGCCACAAATGCCGTCGTCTCAGACTCAGTCGCTATAGCACAATACCTCGACGAAACGTATCCGTCTCCACCTCTCTTCCCCAATGGTACACATGCATTCCACGCGTCTTTCAATGATCTATTTCCAGCCAGAATCGAGCCCATGCTTCAATTTCTCCTGCCATCTATTGCATCCGTGTTGAATCCACGAAGCGAAGAATATTTTCGCCACACCCGGAAAGAAATGTTCGGGATGGACCTAACTGAGCTATACCCAGCCAAGGGGTCAGAGAAAAGGGACACAGAATGGCGGAAGTTTGAGGAAGGCTTTGGCATGCTGGATAAGGCTATGAGAAAAACAGATATTTTGATCATGGGAGGGAATGCTCCATGCTTCGCAGACTTTACTGTCGCAGGCTGGTTACGTTCTTTTCGGACCGTGTTTGGGGAAGATAGTGAGGAATGGAACGATGTGTCGCGATGGCATGAAGGAAGATGGCATAAGTTTATGAAAGCGCTGGAAAAATACGAGAGTGATGTTGTACAGCCTGTTTTCGCAAGACTGTAGTTTCGGTACGATGATTCATAGAATTTTCCAGTACTCCTACATAGTTCATTGCTTCACAAATGGGAACATCCCCTGTTTCTGTCATGCAAAGCTCGCTGAGCCAGGCACAAGCAAAAAAAAAAATTGAGGAAGTCAGAAGACGACATGGCCCAAGGAGCTGATATTTCGACTCTTTTAGTGCGGCGAGTGTGTAGGGCTATCGCGAGCTTTGTAGGGGACAAGGCTAACGTAGGGCACGCGCTCAATTATTTCCCACCCTTTCGTTCCGTTGTTCATTGTTCGAATCTGAAGCTCATCTAGGAGTCTCTTTGACGACTCTTGCTCTCTATATTGACAAAATATAAGTTATTCTCCAAGGAATTCTGAACTGCCGATGTTCTGCTCAGTAACCGAACATTGGACATGATGTCATTTGCATATTTAATGAACAGCCATGCTCTTTACAGGCGCTGACAACGCATTTTTGCATTTCTCCACCACCTTGATTTTGTTTGGAATTCTTCAAATCTCTGCCTTAGAATCACCTATAGCATATACTTATACCTTGGAATCTTCCGAGTGCAAAAGTAGTATTCAGCTTTCAGAGAATCACAAAGAATCACTACTGGTTGGCACGATAGATGATTCATCTAGGCCTAATTCGAGCTGGGCTGTATGCGGTTTTGGTTCATCTTTTTTCTTGCCAAGTGTACTGGAATTTCTTAACGGACTCCTCTGTTTCGCTCCTGTGATTACAGCTGGTCTTCGCTTTCATTTTATTCGTGCTTTGTTGCGTTAGAATCAATGATACTCTGCAGGCAAACTTTTATGGTACGTCGCCGTGAACACTATTATGACCCACCCAGCACACGATACTAACCCAAAGTTTTGACAATCTTCAGACCCAGTCATTGCCGAACTACTCTTCACCTCAATCGTAACCATGCTATGGTGTGGGCTGATGTACGTTCCTACAATTCTTATTATGATGAATCCTCATCTGTCCTCTGTATAGGCTGTGCATATTCTTCGTGGAAACCCTCAAATTCGAGTTTATACGACTATACTGGCAAGAGCTTATCGGTTTGGTGATACTATGGTTCTTCTGGATCGGAGGTGCCGCTGCTGCATCGGTGAATAACGTCTTATACAAAACCCTAAAATCTAAATGACGCTGACGGCGATTTCAGAGCATATTTGGGGACCTCGAGTTATGCCGGCAATTCCAAGCGTGTCAACTTCTTTCTGCTGTGCTGGCTTTCGCATGGCTCGGGTGGATTGTTCTTACGGTAATGCTGATCATTTCGATTGTGGTTATGATAACAGCAACGCGCGATGGACGGAAGGTTCTTGATGAGCCATTACCGACCAGAGCAGCTCATTGATCAACTATTTATCTTTCTCTAAACAATTGCATCGGTCAAAATTGACGCAGTAAGGAAGATTTTAGCCAGCCAAGAGATCTCAATGAAGGGACGTATAGAGACAGAGCTCCCACTGGCAGGGATGGACCAGTGGGTCAAGAGCGAGGTCAAACTTGAATGATAATTGAGCTAATCGATGAGTGACAGAGGACGCGACGAGGGACGCAACAAACGTTCAGGTTGCTCCGTGAATTGCCTGGACTCAGTTCGGCTATCCAGACACGACATGGCCTTCAAGACAGTCAAACCTGCTCGCATATTGTCTGCAGCCATCTTACCGCCTTTTCTTTGTTATTCAGGACAATTATTCTTAGGAAGTTCAAATACAATTGTTTAAACAAAATCGGACGCTGTGATTATGGTCGTTGATCTTGACCAGGATTGCGTGTGATTGTGAAGCTTAAAGGAGATGCTCGTCACTGATTCGTATTTTGAACTTTCCCTAATGCAGGAAGGGTCTCAATACATGCGTTGTTTTCGGCAAGCAGATTCAAAGGAAACCTCCATTATCCTCATCCTCTAATCCATCGAAACAGGGACGTGCAATGGCTAATCTAACATCTATTTGAGCCGAGTATTACCTGACCATGGTGTGTCTTATTCTGTCGAAGGAAACGGGTATTGACAATTCCTTCAAGTTCTGTTGTGTATTACAGCTGCTCGGACATCCTTCAATTTACTTTCATTTTGTTGGGTAAGAATCAATGCTACCCTGGAAAAAAAATCTATGGTGTGCCTTCGCTTTGAGACTAGAAACTTTGCTGAAAATACTAGATTCAGTGGTTGTCGAATTACTGTTCATCTCGATCATAACCATGTTATCGTGTGCGCCTCATATATCTGTTGATATACTTAAACACTACTTCCCATGGAACGGCTACTCCGAACCTAAGTGCTGCATGGCTCGGGTAGGTTACTGGAACAGTGATGGTGATTCTTTTGGTTAAAGGAAGCTTGACTTGTAGTGGACGGAAAGCTGTGAAGATAAATGACACTCTTGCAATAACAATCAAGTGGACCATAATTATCATCGGCCTGATGGTCTAGTAGTATGATTCTCCCTTCGGGCGTTTGCTCGTGGCCTTATGGCTACTTAATTGGGAGAGGTCCCGGGTTCAATTCCCGGTCAGGCCCTGTTTGTTTTTGAATCTTTGTTTGCGCATCCGTTTCTCTTTTTGCAACTGAAAGCAAGGAGCAGGGACCCTTTAGATCGTACAGTAGCCTGGAGCTCAGAAACTGTCGAAATTTTATATTTGTATGTAATGATTTTCCCAAAAAGTATGTTCCAATAGTGTGAGACAATTTTACACCGCAGCCCTTGAATTTGAACTTGAACTTTCATGACCATGGCCTCTAATCCGCCTTTTGTTCTCCATGAGTACAAACATCAGCATCCAGAGCGCTCTCAACATGGTCCTCGTCTCCCACCAATTCCTGATTTGCGCTTTGAGCCCAGTTATTTACGGAGCATACAGCCGTATATCCGTCTCCGTACGTTGCAACCCGGACACAAATCTACGGTAAAGAAGGGCGCGGACTCGAAGGGAAGAGTCGATCAGGAAGATGGTGGAACAAAGCAGAAAATAGAGCAGGAGACTGTAGATGTTGACTGGAGCCAAGTTCTGTGGGTCAC